TCTTCTGATCTTATGTATATTTGTCAATTTTTTTTTAAATGATTACATATGAGAATAGAAAGTCAAGGATAATCATAAATCAATATACAACGTTATCAACCACATATGCTTCATTAATCTTTCAGAACAGTTAATAAGTTTTATGTTGCATTGAATGGTTAGATTTATTTAAAAAAAACCAAAAAAATACATGTTTAACGATTTTTCTGAAGTTTTATATCGACGTGAATGCATTATCTATAGTAATTTTTCGATAAAATAATTCATGAATGAGCCGTAATTGTGTTATTCGTTTGCAAGCTTTTCACTCCTTTCTACGATATTGCACGTCTATAGTAATTTTTCGATAAAATAACATTTTAGCTTCTTTGGAAAATTCTGAACGTTATTATATCATTTATTTTTTATATAAGAAGATGCAATCGATCGGCTGTCATTTTCATTGATTGATAGAAAAAAATTTTTACGTGAAAAGCGAAAAATGAATTATATCAACAATTTTCGACTATGAATACTAAGTACTAAAATGTTACAAAATACATTGTTGTAAATCTTACTCATTCTTCAATTCCGTATTATAATCATCGATCTAGATGCAATATGCATATTTTATATGTCTATTTATGTAAGAACAGAATTTTACAAATTTACCATAGAAATCTGTAAACTTTTATATGAATCTTATGATTTATTCTTAGCTTAAACTTTGAACACCTGTAAAAATAAAACTACGTTAACAGTTGTATCATATTGACTGATCATTATTTACTGATGATACTACTCACCGATAAATTGAATGATCAATATATCTTATCATCAGTAATCAAATTCTGATTAGTAATAATAATTTGATCAAGATCGAAAAATTTACATACAAAAATATATACATATATTCAATCTAGGTTATCAGCACTGTTAGGAGTAACAATGATTACTCACGTTGAATTAACTTCAGAAAAAATTAACCGCAGATTAATCAGGCGGTTTAGATCAGATTCTTTATTAAATTATTATTACTATCATTGAATACGATTAAAAGCTGAAACTAGAACGATATAACCTAGAAAAAGAATCCTATCAGATACTTATTTTCACGTTTTATCACTTGAGCCTAAAAAGTTTACAATATGAATCTCTTGGGTGCATCTGGGCCTACTTTTTTCCTGCATTTTATCCTCTAGTCTGAAATAATCAATTTTGATTTTAATCCAATCAAGATTTTAAAATGATCTAGTAGTAAGACGTGTCGTATGTCATTGATTTTCTGTAATTTTAGGTAAAAAGTAAAAATATAAATTGATAAGTAAAACATAATCAATAATTTTTGATCGGAAAAAAAAATCAAAATATTAAAATTACGAATTACTGAGCAATATATAGAGGAGGGTAATTCCTATCACTACCAACTCCCATCAACTTCCCGTTGGTGTGGTAAACACCCCTTGGTCTCGTAGTAAGATTTTCAATTTTATCCACGTTTGAGTTTTCATTTCGTCATATTTTACAATATCGACGTTGAAAAATGGATTCTTACACATTTTTTGAACCATTAATGATGCCATTTATTTCAACCCAAGCAATGCCGGGTTTTGCTGCTAGTTAAATATTAAAAAATTAAATTTGTAAATGATTAATTTATGAAAAATTAATGAGTGGAATTCTGGAATTAAAGATTAATTGATACATGACTAATTTCGACACGACAATTTCGAATTATAGAGTAATTATGAATGCAAAAACGAATTTTAGAGTAAAAAAAAATGATTAGTTTTATCGGATAAGTGCAATAACAAATTGATTTTGCGCAAAAGAATATCCATGTTGAAATAGAAATTTAACTGTTTAGTGATTAAAAAAAAATATATACTCACAGTAAATTGTGATTGATTAATCAAAAAAAGTACCAGATGATAATTTCGTTACTTGAATAATTCAATTCCAAATATGTATTGCCTTGTGATGTGATCTCATCAAAAGCAGCCCCCTTCTTCTAGGCTGTACACTGATTTTAGGACTTTTTGTAATTTCATTATTGTCGTTATTTATGCGTGGCGCACATTATTGTACAGCCCAGACGAAGGGGGCTGTTTTTGATAAGATTTCACAATTTTTTGTACATATCAACTTCGTCTGCGTAATGTGCATAATTACATAATATTACAATAGATTAATCGAAAATTTTAAGAGAGTAAGATCATAGTCTGGATTAGGCAATTCTAGATACCTATTTTTGCCATGGTATCAAAAGAAAAATAATAAATTCGTAATAGTCTAGTAGCCTTGAATTTAAGCTCTATGCTATCGTGTATTAATTATAGAATAGAAGTTGTGGAAATCAGCTAGTATAACATGAATATGAAAAAATCCTTTTTGTTTATAGTAGAAATTAAAGCTGATGATCAAATTCAATTTTACTCTCGTTTATAAATACTTCTCATGAATTCGTGACTCGTTTTAAATCAAGAAATACGATAGTGTCTTGTGCACTAAGCTTAAATCGCCACCATCTTGCTCTTACGTCACGACGAGGCTCTACCGTGTGTCTCTATACAATTTATAAGATCATTTTTGCAGGTTATAATTTTTAAATTTAAAATTTTTTTCTTATTATAACATAAACATGAGCTTAAATTAAGAATTTGCTCGGAAAGCGATTGTTGGCTTCTTATTAAGCATACTATGAAGTATCATCATTGCTTCAGTCATAATATACGAAATTGAGAAATTTCGTTGCGCAAAAATTGAGTAAAATGAGTTTATTCATGGAGCAATCATACGTTTTTGTTTATCAAGTTGGTGATCAGAGTTTTTAATTGTTATGAAGTTCTCTGACTAACAGATTATGAAGTTGGTAACAAGTTAATTTTGCTCGAGCGCGAATATACAAATAATTAAAATATTTTCTGATTTAAGGGATGACTACGTCGACAATTCTGTTAATCATTACAATTCTATGAGCTTCAGTAAAATACAAAACCAAGATGAAATGGCATCAATAATTTATTCTGATAACGAGACAATAGATTTCAATGGAGTTTCGGAGACATCTGCTTGTATTTGTGTGATATAAGTGATGAATCTAATCAGCTACCAACATCTCAAATAATACCAACATTCTTTTGTAAATATCCTATGGATGTTTTGATTCATATTTTATTAGTTACGGCAACAAAACTTCGTGATAATTTAACTTATACTTCGACTGAACATGTAATGAGGCTAATTAATATTTTATCAACATCACCTAGAAAGTACAGCTCTAAATATCATAGTGAATTCTCACAGATAATGACTGTTTATTACTTATGTAAAATCTGTGGAAAATATGCAGAAATAGAACATGAAATCGAGTATGATGGTTAAGTATTACTTCAGTGTCAATCATATGGGTTAATTTTTGATCAGAATAATGCAACATATGGAGATATTTTTTTATATTTAAGCTTAACTGAACAGCTTCGTTGGTTGTTTGAATTATCAAAAGATAACTGTTGGTACTCCAAAACCCGCAAGAAAATTAAGAAGTATGCAATAGAGGATATTTTTGATGGTTTTTCATATAAAAAGAACAATAGTGAGAATATGGTCAGTATTAATTTTAGTCATGATAGTGCATCAATATTTAAGCATTACAATGACTCCATTTATCCACTGTTGTGTGCCCTCAATGACTTGTCACCTCATCAACGTGGAAGTAATGTAATGTTAACTGCTCTATGGTTTGGAAAAGGCAAGCCTCAATCCATCAATGAATTTTTGACACCATTTATTAAAGAAGCTCAAGACCTGTACAACAATGGTTTTCAATATATACAAGGAAAACAGTACACTCAAAAATTTCGCATCTTAATTGGTATGTGTGACTCAGTTAGAAGAACAACTCTTCAGTTTAATGGCTATTATGGCTGCAGCTATTGTCTACATCCTAGTATTCGAATTAGTAAGGGCAGTAGAAAAGTTCATGGGTATCCTGTCGATGAAAACGGGAATGCATTTGGAGCTGGGTTAAGAAGTCATCAACAGATATTAGTACATGCTGAAAGACATGAAAAAGGAATTAAAGGTTATTCAATATTGTGTGACATCCCAAACTTCAATATCATTGATAATCTTGCTCCAGACTAGATGCATTGTATTGCATTGGGAGTATGTAAGCAGTTTGCTCAATTATGGTTTGACTCATAACATCATGAGAAATCATTTTATCTTGGTCGTCAAATTACGTCAGTTGATTCAATTCTATTATCATACAAACCTAATAGTGAAATTTCTAGAACACCACGTAAGATGTCTGAAAGAAACTTATGGAGAGCCCACGAATGGGCTAGCTGGTTACTATTCTATAACTTACCAACTCTCAAATCGATATTGTCAAAAAAATATTTAGATCATTAGACATTACTGGTGAATGGTATGTCAATTTTACTTGAAATTCCAGTTCTGAAATCCAGACTAGTTTTAGCTGATAGATATTTATTGCAATTTTTTGCTGAAGTTGGGACTCTTTTCTCCGTTAAGCGAGTGTCGTTTAATGTACATCTTCTTACTTATTTGACAGACAGTGTTTTCAAGTGGGGTCCTTTGTGGACTCACATCATGTTCTTATATGAAAATTTAAATCGAGAATTAAAGGCTTTTGTAAAAAGTTCTCAAGAAGTTTCTCTCCAGATTTGAGGCAGTTTTCAACAAAAATTAGCTGTGTCTCGACTTTACAATCTTTGCATTGAGTATATGATAGATGAACAAAAACTTTATTTGCATGAAATGTTGAAAAAAAAAAATTCCCAAGAATTTTGATAAGTTATAATCGCATTTTTATGATTGGAAATCCATATCTTATTTCAAAATTACAGAGAAATTATTATTGAGCTCTACAAAGGCTTCACATTTCAGATCAGAGTTCACAGGATTGTCATTATTATCAGAGAATAATAATTAATGGTGAAGTCATATGTTCTAAACAGTATAAAAAAATCAAAAAGCGTCGAAATTATATTGCCATGCTTCATAATAGCATAATAGCAGAGTTTCCTGATGTAGAAGAATGCTTACTCACCTGGTTCAAACAGTGTCGGGACAAAAACATAAGTGTATCTGGGCCTCTCTTACGCGAAAAGGCAGAAGAATTTTCAAAATCACTGGGACACAGTTCTTTTCATGCCAGCAATGGTTGGTTGGTGAATTTTAAGAAGCGTCATGAACTTGTGTTTAGGAAAGTTTGCGGCGAAAGTGCAAGCGTCAATAACGAGATATGTGATGAATGGATAATTGAGTTGCAGAGTTTATTGAAGGATTATGAACCAAAAGATGTCTTTAATGCCGACGAGACTGGCCTTTTCCAAGTGCTTACCTGATAAAACACTTATTTTTAAAAATGAAAAATGTCATGGCGGTAAGCACAGTAAAGAGCGATTAACAATATTGCTAGCAACAAACATGACAGGCTCTGAAAAACTTAAGCCATTAGTTATAGGAAAGGCTAAAAAGCCTCGTTGTTTTTCTGGTTGTAAATCTCTACCACTAGACTATGATGCTAACAAGAAAGCATGGATGACAGCTGATATATTCAAAGGATGGCTCATTAAAGTCGACAAGAAAATGATTAAGGAGAAACGAAAAATATTACTCTTCATTGACAACTGTACAGATCACCACATAATTCCGCCATTAAAAGCCGTAAAAGTTAATTTTTTTCCACCCAATACAACATCTAAGCTACAGCCCTTAGATTAAGGAATAATAAAAAACTTCACATCCGCTTACAGAAAGGAAGTTGTTAGGAAACTGATAACAGATATGGAACAACAGTCAGCTTTATCTATTAATGTATTGCATGCAATTAGGATGATAGACAAGGCTTGGAGAAGTGTATCTAAAACTACAATATCAAATTGCTTCAAAAGCTGTGGATTTTCGTTGCCACAAGAAGAAGCTTTGGAAGAACCCCTTGAGCTGGATGTGAGTGTAGAGGCTGACTGGAATAAACTTCAGAATATAGAAGTTCAATTTGAAGATTATGTAGCATGTGATGAAGGGCTAGCTACTACTGGAACGCTAACTCATGCTGAAATCATCGACACAGTTAATCAGAATATGGATGACGATGATGTTAATGAAAATGACGTTGATTATACTGATTCAACAAGTTTTGAACCCCCAATAACAAATAAAGAAGCCAGAACTGCAATTAACACTCTACGAGCTTATGTTGAAAGATGTGATGATAACGAGGATCATGTATTCGGTTCATTGTTTGAGCTTGAAAAAATAATTGATAAAAAATCTGCAAATAGTTTAAATCAAAAGAAGATAACGGATTTTTTTTAGTGTACAGTGTACTTCATTAATATGTAATTTGTATTAATATGTAACAAATATATGTACATACTATAAAACTTAAGTTGAATTGTAATTCAAATTCGACTCTACAAATCGAAAAATACACTTAGAAATCGCGCCTCTGTAAGTGGAAATTTTAGCAGTTAAGTCATATGTGTCTCGAAGTTCTTGCTAAGTCGAAAACTTGTTAACTCAAATTTTTTTGCATTTCCCCTGACATTCGAGTTATAGAGATTCCACTGTATTCATGTAATGAAAAATGTCATGTGACTTAATTCTTTTCCTGAATTTTCCTGGTCGATTATCTCAAGAACAAAAAATCATATCGATGTAGGACCAATTGCATTCGACGCGTAATTGATATGTAACTTAGAACTGATTAGATTTTTAGCAAAATCGGTCCAGCCATTTTTTTGCAGAACCGAAGAACTAGCAAAAATGAAAAATGACCTGAATTTTGCAATTTATAAATCACATTATTTTTCAGACAAAATTTAAAAATATTTTAACAAATATGAACATTAAATGATTAGAATACTTGTTTAAAAATATGATGACAATATTTCATCGAAAAAAAAATTTTGAAAAACAAAATCAGAATTTTCAACTCGTGTCAGGATTGAGAAAACAGCATTAAAGACGCTATAATGGTCAATAATAATTGTTAATAATATGGAATTGTGTTCATAACAATTGAACATTGTTTCTAACAAATGATTATTGATCAAGGTAATATTCAAATAATAAGTTTTAAATTGTTATAAACAATAAAAATAGGGATCCATGCTATATATATGAGTACATTTAACGCATAATTTTTTCGTTTACTAAAAAAATGTTACCAACCGTATGACATAAATCAAAACATACTTTTTTCGTTTATAACAATAAAATTTGTTATAAATAATGAAAAAAAGGATCTATGAGGTATATTTGAATTCATCTAACGCACAATTTTTTCTTTTACTGAAATGAAGTAACTTACCATATCAAATGAATAAAAACACACTGATTTTGTATATAACAATTCCATTTGTTACAAAGAATGGAAAACAAAATCTATGCAACATTTTGATGTTCTATTAACGTGTAATTTTTTATTTTACTGAAAAAAAGTTACCAACTGTATGACATAAATGAAAACATGCTTCTTTGTTCATAACAATTTAATTTGTTATAAATAATGAAAAAATAGATCCATGCGATACATTTGAATTCTTTCGACGCGTGATTTTTTCTTTTACTAAAAAAAAGCTACCAACCGTATAACATACATAGAAACTCACTCTTTTTGTTTATAACAATTAAATCTGTTATAAACAATTGGAAACGGGTTCCATTCAAGGTGTTTTTTCATTTTTTCTACTGTGAAGTTGGTCGTGTGGACCTTTCAGGTCGCACCCAGACCACTGCAGAGCACTGATATTTTATGCTAGTTATTTTTTGTAAACTTATCAGACAAAATGTTATTTGTAATTTTAAAAAGAAATCATCTTCACTGATAGCATTTAGATGTATATATTAGATTTATACGCTAAATATACGTTTTAATTATATTTCACCGTATTTTTGCAAAAAATATTTTTATATACTTGAAGTATATTGTAGAGTAATATTTTAGACATACATTTTTGTTGACTTTTAAGAGTAAAATATTTATATACAGGTTAATATCGACATATTTAACCAAAAAAAACAAAGTAATTAGTTGCTCAACTTCTTCATATACATTGTATTTTTAAATAGTCTGTAGTATAATTTTTCACATCATGTACAATATGCTTTCAAAATATAGACTAAATATGTTTTCCAATTATTTTTTCATTTTTTAATCCTTTCGGTTTCATATATACTTAAAATATATTGCATTATGATTTTCAAATAATTTTTTAATACAGATATATCAGAATATATTGTATATATTGTGACGTTATTTTTGACGTTTGACGTTTTAAAAAATGATTTAATAAATATTGAAGGCTAATCATAGCCCAGTTAGTTTGCTCTAGCTATTTTTCACGTGTTGCTCTATATTTTTGGGCTCTCAGGAGCTATTTCAGTGGTCACTAGAGTAATCGTTCACGTTGTGCTTAAAGATTATTTTATTCGATTATATACTTTTGTTAATAATTATTTATTGCGATTGTTAATTTAAAATATCATTATAAAAGTTAGTTAGCAAGGTTGGAAGATTCTATATTTAATTAAAGTAGCAAAAAAGACTCAATAGGATAAGGAGGGGTTGGTAGAGGAGAAGTGACAAGCAGTTGGGGAGTTGCAAACCATTGTGAGGAGAAGTGGATCGCTAACGTGGAGTAAGGGGCCAAATGTAACGGGCCACCCGTTGGATGGTCTATGCTAGAAGACGTTTTAGCCCTATGAGTGATCCTCACCTGATCAGGCCCAGTAACATGGCACTCCAATGGAAGAGATGGAGGTGTGGAAGGTGCATTTTGGAGATTTTGTAAAGCAATTAGATTTAAGTTGAAGAATTAGTTATAAGTTTGCAGGCCTTGTGGGTGAAGCCTGATCAACTTTGCCTCCAAGGAAGCGCCTAGGTTAAGACGCCCTTCCACAAAGAAATCTAGGAGAGATCACGTGATGAAACTACTAATGGGGACACAATTCTACAAAACAAAAAATACTTATGCTATTAGAGGGGGAAAGTGATAAGACATCGAACAATTGAAGAGGGACAAGAAGTTAGATTTTGGAGACGGGAGAGTAGAGAGTTAACATTTAGAGATTGCAGTAAAAAGTCGATTTTTGGAGTCTGAAGAGAGCAGTCTAGGGTTGGAGACGTTAGAGTCATGAAGAAAATTGTTGGAAGTTGAAGAGATTGAGCAGGTATTGAGTCCAATTGTTGTGGGATTTAGTGATTTAGTCTGGTCAATAAGTTCAGTTCAGAAGGTTATAGTTAACTTGAAAAATTATGATGATTTTGTTTCGGGTTTTAGAGTCAATTATAGAGTAAAAATTTATTGTATTTGAGATTTGAATTGTTAATTTGAGATTTAAATATGTTAGAAAATTTATAAAAGGAGAATTATTGACAATTAAAGAGTTAATTGATTGAAGAGTTTGTAAAATGCCCCAGAATTTGAATTTTAAAATAAATTAATAAATAAGTGATAATCAAGACTCAGGTAATTTGGGTAGAAAAGAACCTTCGACTCCCTTATGTTTGGTTATTATTCGGGTAAATTCTATGCCGTACAACCAAGTAATTTTCTTGCCGGCCCTGACCCTCTCTCCACAACCCACATAACTGAGCTCCAGGAGATCCCCTGTCAGAACCTTTTTCTAAACTTTTGGAACTAGTGTTAAGACTTTTAAGGGTTTGGAGGTTTTGGTTGGATTTTTTTTTTATCTGAGATTAGTTGTAAGTTTTGGTCTAGGCTTAAGGTTTTTGGGATTTAGATGTAAGTTTTGCCAGTTTAGTTATTCTGGCGCCCGTCGTTTATAATCTTTATAAGCGAACCAGGGGTGCGAGCTGGTGAAATAGTGTCCTGAAGGAAGGTGAATATCTAGTACATCGACCCCAGTGGAATAATATCGTCACAATATATATATATATAAAATATAATTGATGGGTATGTGTAATGCGTATATGGAAAAAATATTTTAAACGTACACGTTGAAAGTTTTACAGTATACGTCTCGTATTTGTTACGGATCAGACGTATATGTAAAGTATGTACCAAATATACTAAATATATTTAAAATATACACCGTATACTTGAGAAAAGTATTTGACATATATTTTTTTCCGTATGGGTATGTAAACCATATGCTTAACCTTAGAGACATTAAGTTTCTTTTTTTTAGTCCTAGTCATTCGACCAATAGACAGGAATGAGGGGATCCTCGATAGAGAAAGTGAAAATGTGTAGTTTATATGAAAACAGTAACAAAATTTATGGAATAAAAGTTATTGAAAAATTATAACAACAATTTAAACGTTACCAACAGATGATTTCTTTTACTCTGGTCAAAATGAATTACAATTAATTGG